ATGGGTTTCACTGGCCCACTTTTATCTTGCCCCTAAAACTACCTAGAGAATATGATATTTCAAACCAAGGTAAATATAGTCCAGGAGAGTTAGAAGGTCTAACATCAATAGTTTCACAAGAACCAATCTTCGATCAACTCCTGTTACTGATCTTTATAGCAACCAGTTAGATGAATGTAACCCGGCTGCACCGACTTGTTGAGATGAGATAAAGTTCCGGAAGGATTCATTTGAGCTACAAAAAGATCTTACAACAATGGAGGTGTTAGTGAAACTTGACCTACTGAAATATAATATCATGGTAATTTTGCCCTATTCAACAAAAATTCATGTCTCATCGATGAAAATCCACTCCGGACGTTTCCAAAGACCTTGGTTCCGAGTTTGTAATTACAGAGAGGTTAGACATAAGCTCAAACTACATGGGAGATACAAAGAGACAAATTCATCTGTGAAATTTATGCTTAGACAACTTGGTGTATTCAGGCCAGAGTTTCCTCGAACACTGATTATAGCGTATGCACGGTTTCTCCTTGAAAATTACAAGGTCGTAAGTACACTTTGCTTTAGAACAGACACCGTTCTCCTAGACTAGACAACCTGGTGCAGGATAGATCCTAAAGAACATATTACGAGGGCTGACTCCAACACCTGGGCTTAGTTTCATTGAACTTTAAGAGCATACAAGGTGATCTGATAGTGGCATACCATATACTAAGTACACCAACCCAACCGAATGCGTACATATTACCAGCGCATCATCATCACCCTCAAGGCTACCCCGCCTAGTAAAATTGCACACCAAATATGAAACACCTAAGCACCCTTGCATTTCTTCTCATTAAGAGTTTTCCTCCTCTGCAAAATGGATTGAGATCCTTCAGTCGATAGCCTCGGGAAGGGACTAGACAAACTAGTACCTATCCATGAATCGCCATCTCCCCAATGTACTAGCTTTATCAAAAGCATATTTCGTAACTTACACACGGTCGTGATTGCCCATATCAGTAACGTCTTTATGTCTCACCAACCGTCATCCCCGTTTAACCTTTTATTCTTTCAATTCCGTCTTCCTACACATTACCACTTAAATAACTTATTAATTTATTCTAAAAATAATCAAATCTCAGCTCTCAAACTACCATCTTATCATTTTGGCATTACAAACAACCAACCTAATGTCTGGAAATGTGATTGCTGCTGGTATCCAGTATCCCAATCGCTCTGAGATAAACGCACTCACCAGGATAATAGGATATACAAATCCATGAATGACTACCACACTGACTAAAAGTAGTGCAATCGAGTAGCCATACTCCCGCCCATCGAACACTGCTGAATACCTGGAACTGTACTGAAGCAACAAAGAGCAAATGTAAACAAATCGAACAATTGTACTGTCCCGCGACCGAGATATTGGATATTGAATCAACAATAAAACCTTGACATTACTTTTTATTTGAAATGCAGATCTGATTCTGTGTGTTTGCATTAATTTGGTCTTTCAAAAAAAACCCGCCGTCGATTCTTATTGTTGTGTGTCTAACACATAGGTCAGCATTAGTTGATCAGTTGAACTGTACAGTTAAGGGCGTAAATGAAATGATAATCTAAACTGTTGTAGAGCCACTTCATACAATTTCAGGCTCAAATTTAAATCAATCGGACTGCTAAAAACTTGGTATTATCATTTGACAATATGTTCCACTATTTTTCGTTATCGTTGCCAACCATATTAGAGTATAGGTCTTGTACACTTCAGTATTTTCCTACTACTACTTCACATGCGTATAGATCTATTAAATATTGATATTTAATAACTCCTTATGAACCAGGTGCTCTCACTGCTCAAACTGGGAAAATTGAAGTTTATGACTGTTAAAAATCTTAAAATTGATATAATGTGCTTAAAATTTTCCGTATATTGTCAACATAGATTATTAGTATGCGTAAAACACTAGATCAGAGGTTTCAGCACGACGGTATGATGAGACCAATACGAGTTAGCTAATTGTTATGTCCTTTCGTATTCACAGCTGCACAATTTCAAACGAAGTTCACTGGTTATCTAGTGACTATTACTTTAACGTCTCAGATACATTAATGCTTTCTATACTTCGTTACAAAAACTTAATTGTTCAGCATAGAAAAAATCAAGCGTCTAAACTCGTTTGTCTTGTTGATGTTGAGTTTATGAAAATGAGGGGCTGTTATTTTTTAGCTGGTATGAAACTACTATTCTAGATCATATATGAACGTCTTCTCTTGTTATTTTGATTTCTTAGTAATACTGAGCAAAGACTGTAGTTGATTTGTAGTTTTCATAATTCCACTATTTAGGTCCCCATAGTCGTCAAAAATGTGCTTAGTGCATTTGAAGTAGTTTGTGTTGTGTTCTGTACGTTAGCAATCAATTTATGTAGATGGATGTATTCAATCAGAGTCCTCTTAAGATCAGTTTCAATTGCCCAGTGCCTTGAGAAACAAAACTAGGAAAAGTTAATTACTATTTGATGTGTGTGTATAAAGTATGAAGATAAGTAGCAAAGACATGAGAGTGATTAAAGTTATAAAATTTTACTGAAAACTGATGAAATTAAATCCCAGTATCGAAAAGTCCGGAATGCCTGTGTCTCGACGTTCCGTAAGTCTAGAAAGTTGTACGAAGAAAATATTGTTAAGGAATCCATAGAATGTCCTAAACGCTTGTATTCATATATAAACCAAAGGGCAAAGAGAAGAGAAAATATTCCTGCTCTATGGGGAGACAGTAAGGCTCAAGTGTTCTCAAACTACTTCAGCAATGTATACACCATAGAAGCACCCTTCCCATCAGCGCATACAGATCCCCCCACACATACACTGGATAGCGTGACCATTAAAGAACTCGATGTCTTTGGTCTGCTAAATAAGCTTGACATAGGTAAATCCACGGGGCCCGATGAATTACATCCTAGGCTACTGAAGGAATTATCTAACTTCGTTGCAAGCCCTTTAAGTACATGCTTTAACCTATCCGTTACGCAGGGTCGTTTACCAAAGACTGGAAAAACGCCATAGTAAGTCCTGTCTTCAAAACAGGCACGAAACACAAACCTGAGAACTACCGCCCCGTTAGCCTAACTAGTGTGGTTGTTAAAATCTTAGAAAAGATTATTCGGAAGGAGCTGTTTAAGTATCTCGATAAAAACCGGATCCTCTCGGAGAAGCAGCACGGCTTCAGAATAGGTTATTCTTGTCTCACTAACTTATTAGTGGCTCGTGAAAGCTGGTGCGCTCTTAAGGACCAAAAGCTACCTGTAGACGTCGCCTTCATTGATTTCAGTAAAGCTTTTGACAAAGTTCCGCACAACCGGCTGTTATATAAGTTAAGAAATGTCGGGATTGGAGGCAATTTATTGATGTGGATAAAAGACTTCTTAGTTGGGCGTCAACAAAGAGTTCGGGTGAACTCAAAGTTATCTAGCTGGGAAACTGTGCTTAGTGGAGTGCCCCAGGGTACAGTTTTGGGGCCAGTGCTATTCCTCTTGTATGTAAATGACCTTCCTTGTCTCCTATCATCATCGGTCTTGCTATATGCTGACGATGTCAAGATATGGAGAACGATACGATGTAAGAGTGATAGCTTAGAACTTCAAAATGACCTGAAGAAGTTATCTGAATGGTCTCAAACATGGCAGTTGCCGATAAATACTTCCAAGTGTGTTGTGATGCATATCGGTCATCAAGGCACAGATACATACACGATGAATAACACTGAGCTACCTGTCGTCCAGACATATAATGACTTAGGAGTTATCGTTAGTCAAGACTTAAAGACTACTGCACACTGCCGTGCAATAGCCGCCAAAGGTTTTAGAACGTTATGGTCAATACGTAGGGCTTTTAGTCATGTCGACGCTAAGACGTTTTTGACTTTGTATACAGTGTTCGTACGTCCTAAACTTGAGTACTGCATACAAGCGGCTAGCCCCTGCTTAAAAAAGACAGTGAGCTTCTGGAAAAGGTTCAGAGAACGGCGACTAAGCTGATTCCCGGAATAGCGAAGCTTCCGTATGAATCTCGACTGGCCAAGCTGAACCTTTTCCCGTTGTCATATCGCAGAACTAGAGGCGACTTGATTACAGTTTTCAAATTGCTTAGTGCCAAATTTGCACCTTATGCCCTCATTTTTCTTGTCTTCCAAAACAGAGAATTTACGAGGACACTCCAAAAAAGTTCACAAGCCGAGAACAAATTACTTGTCAGCTGACTATCGACTTTCCCATCGAATCATCAACGAGTGGAACTCATTACCTCATCACGTGGTTGAGGCTCCATCCGTCGATTCTTTCAAAAGAAAGTTGGATCAACTAAGAGACCACCATTGCCAGGACTAACACGGCCATCAGGCCTCCTGTCCTTCCTAAACTGAAACTGAAAACGTAATTTATAGTACAAATATTATGTCTTAATAGCGACGACCAGTTAAAAATATGACGAATTGTGGTCCATGTCGGACATCATTAGTAGGCTCCTTCAAATGCAAGTTTCACAACATTACCGTTAAAGCTCATATGACCGCGTAAATTTACGAAAAGCTAGTATACAAGATTTAGAGCATTCTTTGTTGTGTGGTTTTTACCAAAACAAGTATAACTTTGTTTTTTTCTTTAGCTAATTTGTCTCAATAAGTAAACGTATTTTGATTATTTGGATAAGGTTACTGAAATAATTGCGCGTTGTGCCTAGTTACTAAATGTTCCAAGATGTATAAATTAGGTAAGATACAAACGTCTTGATCTAGGTATTTACTTGACTATATAACTTGTTTCTCAAATATTTTGGCTTTATATAAAACCTTCCATACGTTAAAAACTTTGAAGCTTTATGGTGTTTTATGACTACATGTAATAAGCTTACTTTATTATTGTATTTTGTGGTACGTCGATGATTGTACGCACATATTTGGGTATCAAAGCAGTCAATTTAATTGAAAGATACGTATGTACTAAAATGATTTTTTTCCACAATTATATGTTAGACAATGAATTCCCAATGTTTTTGCTACAAGTGTAAATTCAGCTACAAACCAACCGATCAATTTGACAAACAACCACATGGGATCTCAAACTTTCATATGAAGGAAATAAGTGGAAACTATGGCCGTGAAACTCAAAACTTATCAAAATTAGACGAAATACTTATTACACATAAAACATTTAGTGAATTATCAGTCAATCAAAATGAAATGTTAATTGGAAAAATTGCTCAATATAATCAGTTACTAAATGTATCAATTATAAATGACCTAAAGTCAGCCTGCAAACCGGATGAAATACACATTACTCCTGAATTCGAGAAATCAGATCATACATCGTGTTCTTCAAAGTCTTTACTTTACACAACATTTAAAAATAAAGACTTTTCAGGAAGCTCCTTATATATACCTCTATATTATGTTTGTTATGACTTCGACTCCACCAGTTACTCTAACAAGGAACGTATATTTGGAACAATAAACAAAAACTCAGTTTGTCCAAGACTAAGAGGAAATCCGGTGGAAATATCTGACAGAAGTACTATATATCATCATTCTATTAATGTTAGGTAAGTAGTACCTTTTCTGACGTATTTTGACTTAAATATTTACATGAAGTTTTAACAGTTCAAAAACGTTTTAAAACCCGAACTCAACTGAAAATTCACACTTCAGTTATTTGGAACACTTACCATCATTCAGTTCGCGCAAAGTCAATTTTCTAGTAAAACGTCTTCGCCATTCAAATTTCGAGTTTTAGACGTGTAATGATAGGGATTCAAGCGTACTAAAGAAGTGCACGAAACAACGGTAATCCAATAAAATTTTCTTGTTCATTATGACCTTGGTAGTACAAGCGATGTGAATAAGCTTATCATTTTTTATTTACTCAATGTAAATCAGCTTATTGTTGCCTTCAGTGTTTGTTCTTTTAGAGTAACTAACATAACGGGTCCTAATTGAAGATAGTTTCTTTTACATTCTGTTATCAGTTCACAAAACTTATGTTAACAGTATACCAGTTGTTTTTGAGGTAGCTGTATTAGCAAGTAAACTAGATGTTTTGTGCAGTAATTTCCGTAGAAATAATTTGTAGTTGATTGAAGCTTGTAATAAGTGAAATCTGTTCGCTTTCAAAATTAAAGAGAATTGCTGTTTAAAGTGTCTATTTAAGCTGAATAAACAGCCAATATTCCTTGAAATCGATTACTTATCGGTTAAAATATCTCATTCACAAAAGCATTGTATGCTGCTGATGGAGTTATTTTATTTCTGAATTTTCAAGTCTTCAGGTTGAAACAAATTTTACACGCTTTTATAACAGACATAGAATTGTACAAGTAGTGAAGACAAAGAGTAGATAGGCTTTCTCTATCACCATATCAAGTTTAAGTGAAAGCTCATCAAAAAATAACGTTCTCTTTATCCAGTAACATTCTGTCAAGTTTATTACACTTTACAGGATAGTTACAGAGGTTCATAATGTCTGTATCTTCGTTGGTCACATTCTTGCTTGTGATTCCACTTTCTTAAGTACAGATCAGAAGTGGCCGGTTTGTTCAATTTATAATAGCATATAGAACTCGGAATGATTACTGTCTTTGTTAAATGACTTTTAATAAATATGTAAGAGTGAAAAAATAGGTAAATATCGGACACTGTTTTAATTAAGCTTAAAACGCTTTCGTCAAGGGTAACAGTTAGATAATGGACTTCATGTGCAATGCATCCATGTCAGTAGTAGTTTTTAATTCATTTATTTCTTTCCGTTTCTTTACATAGAAAGTTAGTCCCATGTGCTGTAATGTACTGGTCAAATGGATCTGCCAGTAGTATCAATATACCAACAGTACCCTGTTGCCTGATCAACTCCCTATTTATTTATCTTCACGGTTAAACTTCAAAAAAAATATACATGTTTGTAATAACTGTTATATGCGTCAAAGTAAATCTACAAATAGTGAATTTCAACCAATGATTGTTCACAATATGCCATATTCACAAGCAAATAATAGTTTTTTAAACCGGTTATTTATAAAACTGAAAAGATTTACTAAACTAATTCAAAAAATTTCAAAATCTGAAACAATTGCTTGTTTTAAAAGTTTCAAAAGCTGCGGTATTAAACAGTCTATGTTAAGTGACCATAAACAGAAGGATTTGAAGTTTTATGCAGATGATAAATCCAAGACAATGAAGTCACAAAATTCGGTTAAACAATAATTAAGCATTATATTTACGATTCATCAGGTGGTCGCAGCTCACATGAAAAATCTCAAGTTATGTTATTCATAAATATATTAACTGATTTGATATTTAAAAAACTTTTTATCAACAGATGTATGGAACCAAGCTTTACACTTTTATTTCTACAAATAATTTAAACATATTCTTAAAAACACTTTATTTTAGTTTTCTCAGATAGTTGTCGTGTATATGTCAAAAAATGTATAATGTGTCTTGTTGAATAAGTTGTAGAATCCATTATTTAAATGGTACATTGATATAGGTGGTAATTGATAACCTTGTCCCGTACCATAAAAGCTGTACATTACTCCTAAAAATGAAGAAATAAAGGTAAACAAAACTACAGATTTAATTATGTTTTGGTACAAATAGTAAAGCTTGTATTTTATTATACGCATTTGTACTTAGTTATCTTTTCTGGGATAAGTGAAAGCAAAATGAATTGTCGATAAACTAGCTGTTTAGGCCATCTCACTTTGTATTTACAAGGTTTTTTTTTCTATGGAGCAGTTTATTATAGCAACACAAGGTATGCTCTTCCCAATTACAAACGAAGATACTTATAGGTGAAATTTTCAGAAAATAAATGTTAAACATATATTAAATTCCTGTTATCTGTCTCCACCAAAATATTTAGTTAAACTTACTTATAAATTGTAACAAACTGGCTCTTAGAAAAGCTGAAAAAACATTTTCATATCGTATACTTTAGAAATTCATTATTTCAAGCTTTTTCTTTGTGTTTAGAAGCAACAAGTTCAATCCTGTATGTTACCATCTTCCTAGTAATGTGGACTTTATTTTATAGCTTGTTTTTAACTTTTGTTTATCTCTGTGTTCTTCATATTCATCAAGTGGTCACTTATTGTCAAAATCTCTCTCCCATGTGTTATTTCCACGATTATAACACTTTACTCACTACGTAAAATATACTCGGCACTTAAAAATATTTGGTTATCTGTTGATATATTTGTTAATGATACAACAGCTTCCTATTTTATGGTAGACCCTTACTTGTTAAACTAATTAAAAATAAGACTGTAAAGCTTTCCTGTATGACATCATTGAAAGAAAACTTCCTTTCCTTAACCACCTTCATTTTATTAAGTAGCACATAATTATTAAGTAGGAAGAATTCAAACTTTTGTGCACAAATGAACTATTTTCCAAATTTTCATGAATATTTATTACAGAACTCGTTCATAGCATGACGTAACGAAATTAAAAAAAACGAATTGTGTGTTTTTAACATGCAACTGTCAATAGCTATATAAACTATCTATTCACTGAATTCAACCATTATTTCGGTAAAAATACCAAGAAACTGCGTTTTTAGATAGATAGTCATGTTGAGTAGGCCATGTAGTAAATTATCCTAATTTTATAGCAACTATAATCTAGTTTATCATTTTAAAACATGTCCATCCTATATTACACTTTCATTCTTTTATATTTGTCGTCGTAAATTTGTTAGATATCTTTCTACTTGTTTATTTTCTGGTTGTTCATCGTTCACTTGCTGAAAGCTTTGCTTATTAAGCCATTTGAATTATGGTTTTTATGGTACTTTTGACTTACTAATAGGATAACATTGCGGATAGGTATGAAAAAGGATCGGAATTGTGATCTTCATCACCATGTGACATCGGCTAGGAAAAACTTTGAACTGAGAAACCACTAAACAGCTGTTTTATTTACATTTGAAACTGCCTGAAGGAGTAAGCTCTTCACCTAAAACAGACTTTAACTGAGACCTGTGGGGATCGATACTTTCATACTGTTATGTTTTAAACATCAGTTTATTCGTGAAAACACTGATTTTCAGTTGATGTTTTGACAAATAACTGTCTTAGTAAATATACTGAAAACGAAATTTCATAAATATTGTCATAGATTTTTAAAACATAGACTAGTCCATAATAAATTAACTACTATTATTCTGATGTTTATAAACAACTATTTTTTATATTCACCCATTAACGACTGAAATGATACAATTTACCAATTAGGAATAAGTGCTTTATTACGAATTGTATTAGTTATGTCGAACAAGTACTGGTTCTTTTTATGTTTTTTTTCGAATTAATAATTCCATTGTTAGCTGACTGATCTTAATTTGTGTTACTCTTAAAGACCATTAGGTTGTGTTCCTTTATTACATTATCAGTTAGTTTTTTTAGCTCTATAATCTTTTACTACTGTTTCACCCTTTAGAAGGCTCCTAGAAAATCCTATTCAGTTGTGACAAATTTCATACTTCTTTTATATTTCTTCAACTATATTGCAGTTATTTTAGTCCACTACAATGATGCGTAGCCACATGTGAATTTCACTGTTTTAAGTACGTCAACTTTGTAATATGTTTTTTTACATTAAAAGCGAGTGATAAGCACCTCATGGAATAAAATGAATTAAAGTTGTTCCGTTCGAATCCCTCCTAAAGATAATAAACTTAATTAAATCTATGAAATTCAGGATCATATCCTTTTGCATTGGCAAGTTGTTGTCGTTAGCAGCAGCCTCAACAGTAGTAGGTCTCAATATACACAAAGGGAAAAGCAAGATTATCCGACACAACACACCATGCACCAATCCAATCACAATTGACAGAGAAGTATTGGAAGATGTAAAAAGCTTTACATATTTGGGCAGCATTATTGATGAACACGGTGGATCTGATGCAGATGTGAAGGTGCGGATCGGTAAAGTAAGAACAGTAAATTTACAATTGAAGAACATCTGAAACTCAAAGCAACTGTCAACCAACACCAAATTCAACATTTTTAGTATAAATGTTAAAACAGTTCTACTGTATGGAGTGGAAACTTGCAGAACTACGAAAACCATCATCCAGAACATACCACTATTTATTAACTGCTGTCTATGCAAAATACTTCGGATCCGTTGGTCAGACACTATTAGCAACAACCTAATGTGAGAGAGAACAAACCAAATCCCAGTGGAGGAAGAAATCAGGAAGAAGCGCTCGAAATGGATAGGACACACATTGAGGAAAGCATCCAACTGCGTCACAAGACAAGCCCCCAAATGGAAACCTGAAGGCCAAAGGAGGAGAAGACGAAGATCAAAGAACACATTACGCCGGGAGATGGAAACAGTCATGGGACAAATGAACAAAAATTGGATAGAACTGGAAAGGAAGGCTCAGGACAGAGTGGGTTGGAGAATGCTGGTCGGTGGCCTATACTCCGTTGGGAGTAACAGGCGTAAGTAAGTAAGTATTAGACAAAATAAAAAATATTTCACAATGTGAAGATGATCAATATCAAAACTGTGATACTGATTGGAATTTAATGTAAAATTGAAATTCATCAATTATTTGCCTGATTCCTACTATAACAGTTATTTTTAGTAATGGAATAAAATCAGTTGAAAAAAAACCCAGTTATAAAGCACTAGATAAACTGTTTCAAACTATTCAGAATGGTACACCCACAGCAACATATAGAATCGAGTTCATAAATTTGAGATCACTTTAAGAGTTAATTAGTTGAGTTAAACTCCAATGAATTATATTTCCCACTTTAACAATATTGTTTGTTTTGTTTTTTTTGGTATATAAAGTAATGAATCCAATAAAAATATCAATAATACTGTGAATTATGGTTTAAAGTTTTTCACTACTCAAAATATGAAACTAATACGAATAATTCATTTACATTATCATAATGAAGATAAAGTTGTAGAAAAAAAATGACAACATTTAAAAATTAAGAAGGAACGAATTGAGCGGAGAATTTTCTTTTCAGTTAGTTTTTCATCATGGCTATTATTATTGTAAATCATTTAGATATTAGTGTAGAGCCATGATGAAAAACTAACTGAAAAGAAATTTCTTCGCTCAATTCTTTCCTTCTTAATTTACCAAATGGCAAATTGGGGATTTTCACTATATTTGAAAATTAGGTAAGATAGAATCTATAAGATATAATTATATTAATGAGACAATCAATAAATACCCTTGACCTTAAGAACAATACCTATATACATATGTATACATTAGTTGACTTTCCTGTATTTATATTTAACTAAATAATAATAACATCCCTTTTATTTTCTTATATTTAAGTTAAGGAAACAATGTAAAAGAGAGTCCAAATAAAGAACAATGAGCCTTTTTTTAGGTTATACAGACAAATATATATGGGTGAATGAATGAAATGTTTCATTATCAAGTCATTCTCATCAGCTACTCATAAACATATGTTAAATCAATAATTAAAACGAAATAACCTATTTCAAGGTAAATATATAGTTTTCTTCTATGAAATAAAAGATACAAACATTTTTTGGATTATTAGTTAACATAAGTTTATCAATTTATTATTTATAAATGTGACATTAATTATGTTCGAATATTTTTTATCAACTTATCAAATTCATTCACTGTCAAAAAATATGTAAATATTCTCTTCTTGTATTGTTATAATTCTCTTACGGTTATAACCCAACTATTCCTATTGCTTAGTATTCTCGGACACCGATTCACCCGACAAGTCTTCCAAATCAGAACACGGTTAAACAAGAAAAGAGATTATATTCCAAATAACAAGGTTAGATGGAAGTAAGAAGCTCGATAGAAAACACGTTAGTATATTTATAGTTTTTGCATGAGAAGATTCTAGAATGTCTTCCAATTATCGACCAACGCTGATTGGATAAGAATTAGCGAATCAGTGTGCGTCAACGCAGGGGTGCATTGAACATGATTTAATCCAATCTATGTCCCGAGAAAATGTATATATAGAAAAAAATGTGATTTTTTTCTTTTTGATTACTCACTCCATTCTTTATCATTTTATGTCTCTATGACGTTTTTCGACAAACATTTGACTTAATTCGAAACTGGATTATTTACTCATTTAGCTTATGTTACTCATAATGTTTCTGATAAGTAATTTAATAATTTTAAATAATTTACAATCTGATTCAAGTTTACACTACATACTAATTAT